GGCCGCCGTCTGCGACTGCGCGCGCGCCCCGCCCACGCCCCGCCCCGCCCACCTCCGGAGCTCCGCGCGGTCCTAGCGCCAGCGGATTCGACCTGAGCTCGTGGAGTCCTCTGATCAACCCACCGGCTTCCCGCCTTTCTGGCCGTCCCGGGTCCTAGCGCCTACCAGCAAACGGGTGCCTTGACTCTTGGGGGTGGAGGCTGAGTTTAGCTTGCAGGTTTCTGGATGTGTAGGAGCTTCCCTCCCCTGTCCCCAGTCCTTCTCTGGGCTCCTCTCTAGTAAAACCCGAGGGACCGGCGTCTAGGACGGTCGTATGAAGAGTCAAATGTGTGACGCTCCCCTCCGCAGCCAAGGGCTGCTTAGTCCCCTGGGCAAAGAGGGATGAAGCGTTCAGAGAAGAGAGAGTGATGGGTTCCCGAATCCCAGCTTTGCAAACTGAAGGCCACGAGGGGCTGTCAGGAGCGGCCCAGGGAGCTTCGGAGTTCCTTCAGGGTCTTTCTTCGCGTCCCTTCCGAGGGGCTCCGAAGGCGGTTTTCGAGGGCCGGGGGTGGGGGGAGCTGTCCAGCCCACGATGGTGCTGAAGCACCACCCCAGCCCTCCATTAGCACCTCCTCGAGGCTGGGGTCCCCGTCGCCGTCACCGTGGGCCGCTCCGACACTGCTCGCTAGGTGGCACCATTGCTTTGGCCAGCGGCTGTGGGTCGGCGACTCTGGCCGCGGGCGGAGGTCGCTGCGGGAGTGCCGGGAGGGGCATGGGGCGAAGAGGAAGGGGGCTTCCCAAGTGGGGTCTCCGGGTCTCGGTTGCTAAATCCCTTCCCATCACGTCTTCTCTCCCACCAGTCACACCCAGGGTTCTCGCCCTTGGATCTAGACTCTAGAGCCCCCGGTCGTCCCGCCTCCACCGCCCGGACCCAGCGGCGCGAACGCCCCCAACCCGGCTCCTTTTCACCTGGGCGCATGCGCTGATCCGGCCCGCGCCCTGGGTCGGGACCAGCGCACGTGGGGGCGGGGCCTGGCGCGGATGGGGGCGCGGCCGCAGGCTCTGACTGACAGCCCGACTGCGCCGCCGGGACGGTCCCTCTGCTCCCGATCCGGCGGGAGGGAGTAGGGAGGGGCGGGATTTCCTGCGGGAGGCGCTGAGCCGGCCTTGGAAAAGGAGGAGAAGGAGAAAGGGGGTGGGGGGGCCAGTGGGAGCCGCGGTCCGGAGTGCCAGGGACTGAGCCGGGCCAGCCGGACCCCCGGCGGGGCGGCCAGGACAGGTGAGACTGCGGGACCTGAGCTGGGGGTCAGCACTTTTGGGGGCGGGCACAAACTAACTTTTCCTGCGGGATCGGCGGGCGCCTCTATCTCTCCGCTCTTTCCCTCCTCCTCGCGCCCCCTTTTTCCGTCCTCCCGCATCTGTCCCTCCGGCGCTTGGCCCTCCTGGTTCCTCCTGCCGCTTTGTTCCTGGGTCGGCAGAGGCAGGGCTGGGCTGGGGGTTGCGCGGCGCTGAAGGGGCATTCCGAGGGGCGGGGGAGCCAGCCCGACCCCAGGCGCTGCCAGGGGCGCCCTTCCCCAGTGTCGGCCGCGGGCCTTGAGTGGGAATGCCCTCTGGGTTGGGCTTGGGACGTTTTGAGAGTGAAGGGTTCCCAGCCAAGGCTCCCGGGCCTGCACGGGTCTCATGCCACAAGACTTTGGCAACAAATTGGCCGCCGCTGAGGAACTGACGTAAGCTTTTCGGCGGTGAAGTCGAGGGTCTGGACTTCAGGTTCAGGCTTGGGGGGCCGAGAGCTGCGTTCCCTAGCACTGCCCCGGCTCCGTCTCTGTTCTCTGCCCAACTGCTCCCCAACCCCACACAAGGGGTGAGTGTGGGTCAGCAACAGGTGCTATAAAGCTTGCCTGTTCAGCAGGCAGTTCCCCTTAAGAAGTGGAGAGCCATAAGCTCCCTACTCCACCCCCTCAATTCATAAAGAGCCCTAGGGCTGGGGCATCCAGCTATTAAAGCCTAGGTAGGGAGAAATCTGGGGGCAGGCGCCTAAAACAGGGAGTGACCCCTGCCTGCCTGCCTGTCCCTGACCCTCCCAGGCCCCACCTCGTGGCCCACCAGTTGTCTGTGGGTGTTGGAGCCTCAGGCTGCGGAGAACAGGCTGCTGGCCTGGCTTGCCCCAGTGTGTCGCACTGCCAGGGCCCCTCCTGCCCAAGGTTGAGGTGCTGCCAGGTGCCCTGGGGCCCGAGTGACTCAGCCTCCCCCTCCCAGAATGCCACCTCCCCCGTTCACATACTCCTCTCATACATGGTGATTCCCTCCCCCCTTTGAGTGGCTCAGCCCCTCTCTTGACTCCGAGGGGCAGCCAGGGTGATTTGGGGGCTCCCTGGAAGTCCTGTCCTGCTCATCTTCGGCTCCCTGCTCCTGGGACCCTTGTGTGGGCCAGTCTTCAGCAGAGGCATTACACCTTTTCCAGACCCCTGAGACCTGTCCCCTGCTGTTGCCTGAGGCCGGAGGGAATGCTGGCTGCTCTCTGGGTGGGCATCGGTGCTCCTGAACCAAGCCAAGAAGATTGGTGTGCCCAGTCCCAGCCCATCCCAGGGCTGTCGGAAGCTGCAAGCTGATAACCATCCAGATTTCCACGCAGCCTCCGCCCCCTCAGAGATTGGCTTTCCTGCTCGTGGTGGCAGCTCCTTAAGGAGCACCTTAAGGGAGAATCCATCAGTGCCTGACAGTGCCTACTGCCCGGGACACCAGACGTGCTTCCCTAGGACCAGGAGCCCTTTAAGGGGCTGGGGCATGGCACCCTGACGCATTTGCTTGGACCAGTTTCCTGCCTCTGCCTTGGACTCCTGAGCACAGAGCCTGGCCTAGGGGCCAGGATGGGTCGTGAACAAGACCTGATCCTTGCCGTCAAGAACGGAGATGTGACTGGCGTGCAGAAACTGGTGGCTAAGGTCAAGGCAGCAAAGACAAGTGAGTACTTGGCAAGATGACCATCCAGCTGAGACCCCTCCCCTGAGTGCTCAGGCCACAGAGAGGGGCTTGGGTAGGGTCACCGTGATCTGCAAACTTGAAGAGGGAAGATTGTCTTATTCTGGGCCAGCAGTGCCTCTGTGTGGGAAAGCCAGAGAGGAAATTGGGTCCCCCTTGCTGTGTGTCTGTAGGCAAGTCACTTAACCTCTCTGGGCCACAGTTTCCTTGCCTGCAAAGTGAGAGGGTTGAAGAACATTCATTCAAATTTTTATTGAGTGCCTATTCTGTGCTTGATAGGCTCTGTTCTAAGCACTGGGCCATAGCAGTGAACAAAACAGACCAAATTACTGCCCTGTGGTGTTGACTTTTAGATGTGTTTTTCAGATGTGTTCTTAGGAGCCCTGGGGTTTCTGGCAGTGGGCTGGGAGAGACTGAATAGTTAGAGCTCCATCCCACCTCCTACCCTGCGCACACACACACACTTCAACCAGACCATCCCTTTCATGGGGATCCTTTAAAAAGAGAGTTCTACTGCTTAAAAAAATTTTTCATCACTGTCTAACCACTTGCTAAAGCCTCTTTACCCCTGACTTATCTGCCCTGGGGGCTCTAGTCCTGACAGGGCTGGATGGATGGGCGACCCCACCTCTGTGGTGAGACCCCCAAGGAGCATAGACCTCTGGGCTGTCCCAGGAGGCCACTGGGCTTGTCCCCTTGAGATTCTAAACCAGCTGGGGCAGGAGGTGGTTCCTACCACCAGGCTGGGGCTGGAGGAGGAGTTCCCTGGATGGGAGGTCTCCTCTGGAGTGCTGGGGCTATCGCTCTAAGACACACCTTGGTTCTGTACACAGGAAGGAGTCCATCAGGCTACCTGAAGATATCCCCACCCACATCTAGGGGCATGGGGTGCTGGGTGTACCCACTTGCATACCAGGGCGGGAGACACAGGACTTAGAACTGTGGGGGGTGATCTCTGTGCTCTGGGGAAGTAGATACAAGGTGAATGGAGGGAAGGTGCTAAGGAGGTCCCAGGGGAGGGCCCTGAGGCCCAAGAGTGGGAGCCACTCCCCCTCACCTCAGTGTTGTTTTTGGCAACTTGCCCAGTGGGGCCCTGGTCAGCTGCGGCTGGCCTCCGAGTCCTGGGGCCTCAAAGTGAGGCCCTCAGGAGGGAAAGCTGGAGGGGTCTGGAGGCTGGTGGAGGGAGCCTTGCATCCGAGTAGGCTCTGAGTAGGTCCCTGTGCCCAGTGGGAATCATCTGCAGGGGATGAGGTCCCTTCCCTCAGCCCCAAAGGGGAGAATTCACCCTGCAGGTGAATTGATGCACAGGCACAGGGTGACAGGGGTCTGGGACTCCTTGTGAGGTCCTGGCTCTGTGCCTCCCCTCCCAGTCCTCTGTGAGCTCACAAGGAGACATTTGCAAACCTTACAGTTTGTGAAATGAAGTCTCCTCACTTCCCTGTGAGATAGGTATTTCTATATCCATTTTACAGATAAGGAAAGTGCCAGACAGAGAGGGATAGTGACTTGCCCAAGGTGATACAGGCATTATGTGATAGAT